TTCAAACATTACTTGTAAACACGTACCTCCGCTCACATCTGTAACGCGCATGCGCGAGTTCTTAGACGCCTGCAGAGCTCCGACCGGACGCAGCACGAGGCGAAGTTACGGCAGCAGAGCGACATGAACGGGCTGATAGAACCACGACTACCGGCTCCACTACTCTGTAAGTACGCGAGTGTTTGAATGAAGCACACCTGGAACTATAACTGGTTGTTTTACTTGTGCTGCCGACTCGATACAGGAAAGACGGTCCTTTTTGTTAAGCGAGTTAGCGTTAGCGCAGGTAGTTTGCTAGTTAGCTTGCTAGCTTGGAGCATGCTAGCGTGCAGCATGATGACCTGGACCAAAAGTAAACATCCCAGAATATTTTTCGTGTGTTTGGTGTTGCTAATGCGTACCCATAAATATTATTGCATTTCACATTGAAATACGTTTTTAAAGCAATGGGGGCTAAATACAGATTGCAAGGGTGAAGGGCTGAATTCAACAAGTTGTGCTCTGTAAACAAGAGGGCCAACACATTGTAAGTTACTGCGTGCTTAAAGCATGATACTGTGTAATATACCTGGAAATGTTACTCCAGAAATACCATAAGTTGCAGATGAATTGTTATCTTGTTTATAATGTAATAAGTAAACAATCTATAAATTAGGGTCCTAACACACCTGCGGCTGTTATTATTATTAGTTTATTACTGTCATCATAAACCCAAATGACCAACTTTGCCTTTTCCTTGAAGTCTTTGCGCTTTCCCTCCTCACAGGTTTCTGTGGGTGGTGGTTGCATCTGACGGAGGTTACATCTGATGGAGGTTGTGCCTGCAGTGTTCCTGCCTTACACCTGGCTTACTACTCTCAATATTAGAATAATTTCTGTCAAAGGATTTGAAAGCACTGTACATCTTTAAGTCATTCATACTCTACACACCTACTTCTCCTGGGACAGGATGTTGCATGTTTACAGATTGCAAAGCTGAACAAAATAAAATGATTTGAATTGAATAAACATGTTGACCAGAGGAATCTGCAATTGAGGGGTGTTCTGTGCACTCTTGACTCCCTTTACTCAAAGAATCCTCAAGTGAGTATGAGGGAGACGCAACTGATTTCAGGTATACTATCCCAACTCCCCCGGTGAGCATTTTTATTAATTTGCATTTATTATAAATATAACACTGTACATATAACAACACTTTTCATAATTAAAACAATACAAAAATAAATTAATATTTCAGGGAAATAAACTTTGGACTAAAAGTGCAGAAAAAACATGGACAGGTTAGTTTAGAATTCTGTGTTTCTAGCCCATTTTTCTGGATCATTGAGGTCTTAGACGTTCAGACCTCATTTCAACCCGATTTCAACCATATTTCAAGGTTGAAATTACGTCTTGTGCTCACTGGGATTCTTTATGCGCTGCTGCTGTGGCGGGTACCGTTCGTCAAAGCAGATATTTGGACTTCTCATAAAAAGACAACACAGTCCACCCATGAACTGCATTCTCATTTACGTTATTCTTGGGAGACGTGATTTTCCCCCCGATTTCAGAACGATGGCTCTGATCTTCAAGCGCTCCTTTAAGCCGCCGCGGTGTTCCGCTGAGGCTGCATGAACGCCACCAGGACTCTGAGACGGAGGAAGCTAAACAGTCATTGCATTTTTTGACTCTTCTCCGACAGACAAACTGTGAAAATGAGGTCTGTTGACACACACAACAAAAAAGAGCCAAGTTCACACACAGAGATCTAAATTAATAGATAATTCATAGAGCCGTGGCCCCCACAGCCACACCCAGCCTCAATGTTTCCTCCCTCCTCTTCCCGCACAGCAGAACCAAAAGTGCATTCTGTAAAACAATATTAACAATGTTGTTACGTAATATGAACATATTAGCAATAATTCTAGAACCACTAAAACCACTGGACTCAAAACTAGACCATGCGAAACGGCAGATATACAGAAATCTCCCTTTCAGAAACATACGCACACAGGTTTTAATAAGCCTCTTCCAAATGGAACAAACAAACACATTTGTTTGTTGTTATGTGTCTAACTGAAACATAGCACAGACAGTGTTTTCCAACAATGGCAGAAGAGAAGGAACATCTGTGTTGGGTTTCTGTGTGTGTGTGTGTGTGGGAGAGCGAGGGCGAACAAGAGCAAGATGTGGGGTGGACACAAATTGTCCCGAAAGTCATAATTGATATCGGCTCAGCATACACACACACACACTGGCCTAGTGGGGCTGGCAAGACTCATATGAGTTGAGTCAGTTTTACTAATCTTGCAGCCTGGTACCAACAGGACTGTATTTACTCTGGAGGCCATCTGCTCGGCACGCTGGAACAACGTGAAACGAAAACGTGTTGAGGTGTTATTAATAAACACACACACAAATTTGTGCTTTTGAGTAAAATACCTCAACAACTATTGGATGGTCACCAAAACAATTTGGTAGTGAAATCTTGCCCCTAGTACAAATTTGAATACCAACCCTCTCAGTGGGACCTTTCGACTGTTGGCTTTGTACTGTTTGATTAGGAAATATTAGCATTCTAAGCTGATATAGTGAACACCGTAAACAATGTATCTGCTTAACATTCTAGCTTTGTCACTGTTGTTGTTTGTTGTTTTGTTGCCAAACTAATTTGCAGTAGCGGAATTATTGCGGCATCTATACAAAACGAGCACAAAGACTTGTAATAATGCTATTAGTGACATTTGTCTTATACGTTGTTTATTGACATACATATTTTTTAAGCAAATACATAATTCAAAATAAAGTAAAATGCGCTGGAGCGTACAACTGTACTGTTTTTTCCCCCAGGGGAGACCTATTGTCACACACTTGGGCCATTTGAAGCGGCAGCGGTAGAGAAGGAAATCAGATGCATAATTATTTGAAAATGTCATGGATCATTACTTCTAAATCAGCCTTCGATCCAACAGTGCTTCAGCAGAAGCACCGGGTCTGCTGGCTGCGTTCCCCATTCTGTACTGTAGAATAACCACAGCGTAATGAGCAGGGTACAAGCCACACACCATTGTGTTCAAGTTTTAGTAAAGTTTCAGAACTTCCAAACTCATGCAGAGTCTGCGGAACATTGGATTCATTAAAAGCACACACACACATTAACAATCAGTTGGAATTATCGCAGCGATATCAGCATCCCCTGATCACAGAGCTGAAAGCGAGAAGTATTCAGTAGAACGCTGTACTTCATGTCATTTTGACCTGCATTGCTGCAGGCCGGTCAGCATCTACAGCCAACACCCATTCGTCATGGCGAGCAGATTAATGCGTGTCTGCAGGGGACGTGTGCAGAGGACCGGTATAGCGAGCAGGAAGATTGTTTTGCATCCAGATATCAGAATATTTCTGGTCCTTCTGATCATATTGAGATGAGTGGATACCAATTAGATTTTGATAGCTTTCCAGGCCTAAAGATGTTTGTGTTTTCTTATTCATGAGTGCTGAGAAGTTCTTAAGAAAGAGGTGCATATTGGTGGCCTTGGTCTATGGCAAGGACCTCTCTCTGTAACTCTCCGTACTCTCTGGGGAGGTGTGAGGGAGTAGCAAGGAGTCAGTGGGATACAGCGAGATAAAGAGGGATGGGGCGAGGAGGAGGAGATGAGGAAGAGGAAGTGTAACGTTAGGGGAGTTGAGCTTTGAGTGGAGTCAACTAGGAGTTTTTTTCTTACCAATTAAAAAAGTTAAACAGTTGTGAACTGTGGGGGAAATATATATTACATTATATTCTCACTTATACCTTAATTAATAGTTTTCCTTGTGTAAGTTGCGTTTGTTCAGCCATCATGTGCTCGGTCATGAAATTGAGCAAAGGGTTTTTGGGGAGACGGATGGGCTCAATGAACCAGGACCTAAAGATACAGGTGCTGGAAACCAGTGACAGTTTTCCTAAACTTGATGACGTAGTTTTGTTGCCAAAACCTCATTTAGTTTTTCGTAACCTAACGCTGCCCCAAAAAACAAAGTCACTTCGAGTATATATAGTAGTAAATATGGATGCTTGGTTGTATTAGCTGTGCATCACCTTGCCTGGTCATTATGATGCACCTGGCTGGAGATGAAGGTGTTCGAGTGTGTCCTGAATAAGGCATCCTAACTAGTACATGACCTGCTTTCGCAATATGGCCGATTGATTGAATGAGATAAAGGAGCATTGTGATTTAAACTGGTCTGCCACCGACGTCTCGCCTCCCGCCCGTGGAAGGTAGTGAGGGAAACAAAGAGCACCTTATGCGTTCCCATCGTGGCAGCACGGGATGCAAAACTCCTCCTCGTTTCCTCAGACAGACTGAAATAAAACACATTTCATAGACAAGAGCTTTCTGTTTCTCTGTGTGTTATCGTAAGGACATGACAGAGGCAACACTGCAGCTGTGGCCCACAGAGCCAGGTTTGTTCTGCTTTTTAGGTCAGAGGGAAATATTAAAAGATGTTTTCCTTACACGTCACTCCATGTTTCTCTGAGAGATGATGGGGAAATAATTAGTCCAATTGGTCAATCATATGGGCACCAGGGAATTTTTTATGGTTGTTAGAAGAAGTTCATTTTAAATTATTCAGTTTTTACTGCTTTGTTACTAGGGTTTTGGACTGTTAATGAAAAGATCAGCCTCACTAGTCAATAAGCAAAGATGAAAGTTGATTCATGTGCTAGATGATACACACTTCCATGACTGAACATTTCCTAATGGGAATATGGGAGGTGAACACAGCTTTGACTATTTCCAAAGGATCAATGTGATTGCAGGAAATAAATGTGATGACTGGTTTCCGTTTGCACGATATGATGATCCGCACTGGATCCTGATTTAGGGACTTGTGTGTTGTGTGTGACTCTACACAGGATTAGTCCTAAAATCCTTTAGTGCAACCAAATTTAGAGTAGAAGATTTTTTTAATTGAATAAGAACCACATGTTGATTTTTCATACTTTTAAAATGAACTGTTTTCTCTTTCTGTGGTGGCAGCCACGCGACGGGCTACGACAGCGACCCCAACACCCCCATGCTGTACAGCTGCAGCACGCAGTACCGCATACACACACACGGAGTCTTCAGGGGCCTACAGGTACGACTCCCAACAACCGAGAGAGAGAACATGATTTCTTTCAAATGTTTCTGAATCAGCGAAATGAAGGAGAGCCTGATAGTAGTGAGCCTGGTGCAATGAGCCCGGCCATGTGAAGAGGAAATATAGCAGAGGAGATTTAAAAACACACACACAAATAAATTCCTCCACGCACATACGCGTAGCACACACAGACTTTTTCTAAAAGGGAACTCCAAAGGCCAAGAGGAATCTTTTTCCACAAATCCATTAGCAGTGGAGGAACACACACACCTAAACACACACAGGCCCATGCAGACTGGATAAGGATTCAGTTTTCCTACAGGGATCAGCATGTTAATAAATCATTAGATTTTAATTATTGTCTGTCAGCAGCTCTAAAGGACAGGAGGCAGAGATTCTCCAGACCTGCTCTTAGTTCGCAGCAGGACTTTTAATGGGAGCTTTCATTCTTTTTTTGGGGGGAGGGAGGGGGGGGTTGGAGTTGTGCTGTTTTATCATTCGTTTTATCATCATTCACTCCTGTTCATTGTTTTTTTTCCCTCTTCTGCTCATAGAAAAGGGTTGGATCCAAATAGGAAACCCGCACAGGAGGTCCGACACAGACAGAGAAGAACAAACAAGCTCTTTTGGCTTTTGGGAGTCTAATTTAGGGTCTGAGTGGACAGATCGAGTAGCAAAGTGATGCTTTGCTCTGCTTATTATTTCTACTTCATATTCCATTTAAATTAGTATGTTTTACTGTCGGCCAATCACATGGCCCCGGACGCTATAAATCAAATGCGTGCATTAGTAGATTTACAAAAGGCAGATGAGCATATGTAGAAATCAGCCATGGTGGTATTCCCGTTATTCTTCTCCCGCTGTGGAAGCACGGCCCGTTTAAAAGGCCGTGACTAACAGCTCCCTCTGGGCAGGGGGTCATTTTACTGCTAGTTTCCATCTAATGAATATATGATCATTTTATTATAATGATCCCCGTGAGCCAGACAGATCATGTGCACTTATTTACCCACGAGGCAAATTTAACTGAATTTAACTGACTGAACCAGTGAAATTACATTTCACTGGTTCAGTCACTGGTGTGGCTCTGTTCATTTTTGCCTTGAGTGATTTGGCTTTAAATTGTTCGGTGTGTTTGTGTGCAGGATGTGCGACGGGTGCCCAGCATCGCTCCGACCATAGTGCGCTCAGAGAGCAGCGAGAAGCGTCCGTTCATGTGCGCCTACCCAGGATGCAACAAGCGCTATTTCAAGCTGTCTCACCTGCAGATGCACAGTCGCAAACACACAGGTGAGGTCAAGAGGCCACAGGAGCGCGTGCTGTCACGTTCTATCTGTTATGTAACTATAATGACAGCTGTCATTGTGTGTGTCCCGGTGATGCCATCAAGGAACTAAAGGGGTCTCTTTGGTGATGTTTCCACCTTATCTGTACTACTTGCAGCTCCCTACGTTCACAAATGGTTTGCTACCTCAGCGGTGTTGTGATTCTAAAGAGGTTCCTGAGTGAGAGAGATGACTCTGTGAAAGTCGGAGTATTTTTTTCCCTTGCTTAAGCTAACAGATGCCAGCTAACACCAATAGTTTTCTAAAGGGACACTGGGGCTCGGAAACGCGCCCACTATTGTCCACGGAGGCCGCCAAGATCAACACCATACGAAAGTTGCTCTTAGTAGCTTTAAAGTAGCTGACATTTAAACCAGACTTCCTTTTGCGATCATTTTACATTTAATTGTATTTAATGGTGCCATCTGAATTTGTCTTGTCCAGGGGAGAAACCCTACCAGTGTGAGTTCACAGACTGTGGACGGAGGTTCTCTCGCTCTGACCAGCTGAAACGACACCAGAGGAGACACACAGGTTTGATCAGTTTTCCTCAGTCGGTCTCTGACGTTCCTTTTTTCTTTCAGTTCCTTGTATTGGCTCTTCCCTCCACTTGTTCTCTACCTCCAATTGCATGACTGTCGTTTTGTGGCCACAATGCAGTCTTTGAAAGCACACAGTGCATTTTGTGGACAATAGTGACCACACTGATCCCCCCCCCCCCCCTCGCATCCCCCTCTGCCCCCCCCCCCCCCCTCTCCTCTCAAATACCCCACCCTCCCTCAGATGAAGTTGGTTAGAGCTGGTCTGGAATGGCTTCCCTGCAACCTCTGCTCTACTGTATTTTTCTGTGTGTGTGTGTGTGTGTGTGTGATGTTGAACATGTGTTTTCTGTATGCGTGTGTGTGTGTGTGTGTGTGTGTGTGAACCTGGACTTGTTTGTTTGTGTGTGTGTGCGTGCATGCATACTGTACATGTGTTTAGGAGTTAAACCCTTCCAATGCGAGACGTGTCAGAGAAAGTTCTCTCGGTCTGACCACCTTAAGACACACACCCGGACTCATACAGGTAAAACAAGTGCGTAAACATTTTTCCATTTCTTCTTCATTCATTTGATGTTTACATTACAATTGTAGTAGTTTTAGAACACAGTGTTGACACGTCAACATGTTTTTATTCTTACGTGACTGCAGCAAGTCCATTATCTGCTATGATCAGCACAATATTCTAACATTTTTTCTCATTCTCCCCCTTTTCTTTTCACTTTATTTCATTGTTATTCCATCCGGCCACCTCTCTTCACTGCCGTCCTCTCCCTTACCTCCTCCATCCTGTGCATCTCCCCCCAACTCTCTCTCTCTGGCAGGCGAGAAGCCGTTTAACTGCCGGTGGCCAAACTGCCAGAAGAAGTTTGCCCGGAGCGATGAGTTGGTGCGACACCACAACATGCACCAGAGGAACCTCACCAAGCTCCAGCTTACCATCTGAGTCTTTTGTCAGGCCGTGTCCCAGTTTCAAATTAAAACACCCCGGTTTCATCTTCTTTTACCTTCTGTCTGTGGTTATTAGTTAAACAGCTGGTGATCACCTTTGTCCTCCAGAAACCAGCCTGGGTTTTTTAATTTTTAATTTTATTTAAAAGGTAAAAAAGAATAGTTGTTGGGAAATGACATAGCACAGTCTACATAACAAGCTAAACAAGTGCAAATTGATCTCTAGACGGTGTGAGATTTAGAGGATAAGGCTGCCAATAATCCATACGTTTTGTTAACAAACCCCTTAAAGGACAGACACTACTGCTGTGCATTGACTGGAGTCACTGTGTTGATAAAGTGGAGGTTTATTGGCAAAAAAAGGCTGAACATGACTTGGCTTTTATAACAATTTAACGCAATATTTGGTTTTATGTCATGTGGGCCAATCCAATACATGGAAGCAAACAGCCCTTGTGTATCACATTGTATTTCTAGTAATTACATGACTGTTATTATAATAAGTTGTAACATCCTTATTAATTGTGTTATTATGCAGTATGCGATGATGATGTCTCATCATAGACCTTCAAACTCACCGTCTCAACAATCCCCAAAAGAACACCCCCAAAATGCTGGGACTATTTCCACTGACACTGGAGATGTTATAAAATGGGTCACAATCATATATTTATGAGATTTGTTCTGTTTTTAAAGGCTTAAGCATTCGTTTCAGAAAATGTTCCTCAAACAGGTGTAAATAAAAGTAAAACGTTTGTATGTGGGTGTCAGTAGATGAAGATGAAGAATAGAGCCCATGTTTATTGTAGGCGACGAACAATTCTCCCAGTGCAACAGAGGACTCATTGCTCATGCTGTTTTTTGGACCACAGCCGAGGGCCACTGCATCTGGGTTTGTGGCAGTGGGAAGAGACCTTGACCTGATTTTGACCAGTGCAAGAAAAGGGCAACTTTTGTTAATTGTTATTGAGACACACGCGTCACCAGCGCTGATTGATGAGGATTGGACAATAGCGGTGCGCTTTCCTCTGCGGTTAGGGTGTCGATGAAGCATTACGTCATTCAATTTCACTCGTAGTCATTAACCGAGAAAGCTCACCTCACTTATCCTTTGAAAAACAAATGCTCATTTGAATGATATTTTAAAAACAGAAGCCAGAAAAAACTGCAAAAAAAGTGTAATTTCGCGAGAGAAAACATTGGTGAGTTGTGGAGATCATTTTTGTAATGTAGAATTACATTTGTCCCCAGTTATTAGCCCTGTGTGAACAGCGACGTCAAAAGTCAGATATGCCTGTACACCTTCAAGCTTGTCTGCTGTCAATAAATCTTTATATTGAACAACTTAGGGAAGGCTAATTTATTATCATTTTGTTGTGGACAAAAACTGCTCTCACTGGAACGATTTAAAGGGAGCGAGGTCCACTCAGTCTCTCTGCTGTATCGCGTTTTCACACCCTCACAATAAAAGATAATCCTGGGTCTGATTTCAAAACATCAAAGTAAGAGAATAACCTACACTGTTTTTTATTGTCAGGTTGGCATTGAAATATATATTTGCAAACTTAAATACAAAAAAAAAGAAGTATTTTTGTTTTTGAGTAATGGCAGGATTGGATTTATTTTTTCTGTTCTGGCAGCGGTCTCAGGAGTCTCTTGTCTCTGCGGTGTGTAAATATTGCTGGACTTTGGCAGTGTTTTAGACTCTAAAATATGTCTGGTCGAACTGGCTCTGTGGCCGGGACATTATGGTCAAGATGTAAATAATACTACTTCAACGTGGGAACTGAACTCTTTCCACGGGGAAAAACATGTAACCAAACTGATGTGTCTTAGAAGTGTCTCTGGAAGGCTCCAGGGAGTGTTTGTACTTTTCATTTTTTCTGTATTTCATGTGTATCAATATTTGAGTCATCAAACAGCAAATGTCAGTGAATCATTTTGTACTGAAACGTGTGAGATGAAACATGAACATGATTATGGTTTCTCTCTGTTTAAATGTACTGTGACTCTTTTCATACAGCATCGGTTTGCCTCTGTGGTCTTTTATTTGTTCTTTGTTGTTTGATGTGAAGTAGACGTGACTTGGTTGAACTATTCAACCATAAAATCTGGTTGACACTGAGCTGATTACTAACACTAAGGAGATTATATATTGCATTCATCGTTTTCAGAACATGCTTAAATATGCTAACGCTGCATTTTCTTATTAAACATGTGCTGATTTACCTAACTTCCGATTTCTAAGAGCAGAAATTTAATAAAGCCATGTCTATTCAGAAAAATATAATAAGTAAAAAAAAATGATAAATGAGTATACATTAGGCTATAAATAATATATGAACAAACCCCTCTGTAAAAAAGTGGATATTGCTGAAAGAAGTATGTTATGAGAAAACCTATATCTTAAAATTACACTTACACTTTCTTATGACAGAGAAACATCCCTAGTTGAGAGGATATTCTGAAAACAGGCAATCGAGGCATTTTCATTTCATTTTCATTTAATTTGTGAGAAATCTACAAAATACACAAAGTGAGGAAAGAAAACGTGATAGTAAAGTAGATCCAAACCTCAAAATTGACCCATGCATGAAAAACAATGTGTTTTTTTGCCTGTCCTGTCTCGTCTTAAGTCACCCATTATTCATTCGTTGTTAGTGTCCTAACTAAAAAACCCAAAAGCAGTAGTGTTTTTACCCTGGCACACAGAAAGGGAGATCCACTAAATAATGTCGGCCTCATTGTGTACGATTCCATCAATGGAACATTCCACAGCCCTGCATGTATGTGCAAATACTTGGCCTACATCAGCTGACCTTGACCAAGCTTTCCTCCCTTTACATGCTGTACAGTACAGTTGTTTGTGACCATACAGGATCATACTGCTCAAAGAGCTGGTTTATAAGCGACAAGACAAAGGGACAAAGTTTAAATTAGAAAAAAAGTGCAGTACCGGTACATAAAAACAGTTGCACAATCAGCACACACACACATACACACTGCAGCGAAGTACAATCCGCTTTCCTGCCTTTATCTCTCACCAGATTCCTCATCGCATTCCTTGGCTCAGTGAATAAAAAAAAGGGCAGAGCAGGAAACTGATAAAAATGAATGTGTTTTCTTTCAGCTCCTCTCCTTCACCTTCACATCCCATTTCTTCGTATTTCCACCTTTATTTGTTAAGTTAAAATATGCCTTTTTAAAAATATATATTTTGCCCAAGTGACCGTCAGCTTCTAAATAATTTATGACAATCCTTTTTTTAAGGCTAATTTCATCCGTGAGATGACAGTCAACAACACTCACATGCATCAAAACAATAACGACTTAAAATACGCAGTATTTATGTGGAGAGAGAGAGAGAGAGAGAGCAGCAAACTGAAAAACAAAGGCGGATGAGGCAGCGATGGATAAAGACAGATACAGCAATGTTTCTCTTGTGAACTGTGAAGTGTTAGTGTAAATCAGACAGCGTGTCCGATTCCCTCGGTGGAAATCCCCTGAAACTCCCCAGGGCTCTCGTGCTATATCTCAGCTGTCGGACAAGGCCTATATCTCTCATCTCGTAAGTGTGTGTGTGTGTGTGTTTTGGTGTTTCATCTTCGTCCCAACCTCCTGCCGCTGGAGTCCTTTGAAGCAAGAGAGCTGCTCAGTGTAACCGTGGTTCTGTCCACTTTCACTACTCACATAAGACGCTGTATCTAAATGTTCTACTTAGAACAGATACGGAAAACATGGATGAGGCCTGTTTTCAGAGATGACAGGGAAAAGAAATCAAGTCACATCATAGTCGGTTCCCAGCCAATGGCGACCCAGTTGCAAGCAGCTACCTAGTGAGATACAGAGCAGCTGCGAAAGAGTGCTTACGTAACCTGTTTGCCAGAGATGACTACAAAATGAACGTTAAAGAAGCTATTACATTTATCTTTTGTGAAAGCGGTTGCTCTAAGTGAGAAGGTTGTCACATGAATCTGCAGATTTCCAACTCAATGTTTTGGTTCACTGATTACTCTCGTAGTGATGGAAGAGCCGGGCGACTGTTTTGAAGTAAAAAAGCCTCTTAAAAAGTCAGCAGATAAAAACAGCCTTCTCTGTTAGTTGATGAAGACAGTGGAACAGCACGTATCCGTGAGCTCATTGTGTACAAAACTAAAGCTAAGAGGACATAAATATTATCCTTGGGTGCGTCAGGCTGTTTTGCAGTAATTCGTCCCTCTAGTGGCCACAAACCGGGTCATGCAGGTTTAAATCCCTTCTGGTTTGATGTTGTAATGTGTCATTATTGACACATAAAGAAGTCAGACTGTATAGAAGTCTATTAGGAAATAACTCTCTCTCTCCTTTTTAGTCCCTCGGTAAACATTGTAAATGTGAGTTAATGGTGTCGATCTCGAGTTTCAGGTCTTCTTCAATACAGGACGATTTTCATTGAGAGCACATGAACCATAAAATACATAAAATACATCTTCTCCACATTCCTGTTGAACCTTTTTAAGTGGTGCATCTTACACTGCGATCATTTTAAATAGTACATTAGAGTTTGGTGACCTGGTGATATTCCCAGTTTTACTCAGCCCACCTTCAACGGGTAACTAAACACACTTTTAAAAACCTAACACCCCCACTGCGGTGAGAGAACGACCTATGATACACAAGCAGACAATATGATTTGTCATAAGAGGTAAAGCGCATGATAATAATTCAATTCAATTCAATTCATTTTATTTTGAATAGCCCAAAATTACAACTTTACAGTCCGTATACATACGACATCCTCTGTCCAGAAACCCTCACATCGGCACAGGAAAACCTCCACGGGGAAAAAAGAGAAGACACCTTAGTGAGAACGTCAGAGGAGGGATCCCTCTTCCAGGATGGACAGACTACAATGAATGTCATGTGTACAGAATGAACAATGTAAAACATAAAGAACACATTCAATTCCTAAAACAGAAATTATTCAAATAATTGCGAGTAGTAAGCCAGGTGTACGGCAGGACCGCTGCGGGGACAACCACCATCAGATAGAACCACCATCCACAGAAGACTGTGGGGAGGGAAACCACAGAGACTTTAGGAGAGGGTAATGTTGGTTTAGGATGACGGTAACAGTAATATGATTAATATTTAAAATAACATGTATCCTGCTCCGTTCCATTATGTCTCCCAACAGGGCATCTCAGTTAGCCAGCTGCACACACACCAGAACTTCCCATGCAGCCATCATCCATTTTGTCAATTTCCCCTGTGCATTTCCCTATGATGGGGTGTGAATACGTCTGTGGGGAAAAGTTCAGGCAATAATCCCATCTGCACCTCCACAAATGTGTCAAAATGTTTGTTGGGGAAAAGGCCCATTGTACTGACGAAGTCCTAAAAGAAGTCTAGTACTGGTTGCTAATACGGTAGATTAGACGTGCGCCCGGTGCGCTCGAACACAGCAAAACGGAGAGTTCTGTAATCGTTACAATTATCTTGCATGTTTATTTTACATCCACATATCATACAGCAGCAGAACTTTAACTCATAATACATGTACCCAAAATAACAAACCGCACTGCTCACCACGAAGGCACACACACACACTGGCACAGTCGAAAACTGTTTGCTTCCCAAATTAGCAACACTTGTGTCTGGGATTCCTGCAGGTTAAATGGCCTACCTGGGCTGATCCGAGGTCGGCTGAGCCACAAAGCACATACAGCCCCCCTAGTGGCACAGAGCAAAATTAAATGAAATAATACCAAATGAATAGGGCTCCTACACCCATCGTTTGAGTCGTTATTGAAGTTTCAAATATACCTCAAAAAAAGGTGTTAATCACGGTGTCATCTTTTCGATTGTTCTCATGTACGACTCACTCTCCACTCCTCCCATTAAAACATGGTATTCCTCATCAGCAGAGGACCTGAAAAAGCCCAGTGGGTTTTTGTTTTGCTTTCTGAAAAAGCCCGCTGACTGCTGAGTGGGTTGAGCTGCTGGCAGAGCGCTTGATGTGATCTCCCTCCCAGGCCACAAATTCTAACACTTACGCTACAATGTAATGAAATGGAAATCTGATATATTGCCTGAGTGCATTAATAAGAACTTTTCTGCCTCGTTCTGGGAGAAAATGGAAAAAGACAGACATTGTGAAAGGTGCAGAGAGAGAGAGCGAAACAAATAAACTGATGGAAAGAGTAAAAGACACTGGGAAAAAAAAGATAGAGGCATCCTTTGCGGTCATGTTGTTCTGTGAACTTTGGAGGTGGGAACGGGAGTTGATAGTGTGTGTGGATATCAAGGTCCTGGTAAGGCTCAGCACAGCTCATTCCCCATCCGCACACACACATAAACTCAAGAGGCCGCATTCCTTCCTTTGCTGTCAAAAACTCAAGTTGCTTCATGAGGACGAAACAAAACAAAAGACATCATGAGAGAAAAGCCACAGACGGAGCGATTTAAAAGTACATCCGGTGCTGACAATACTTAAAATAGTTAAGTAACCAGCCGCACAATTTTTTGGAGTATACTCAACTCAAGGATAATGTGTTGTGTCAACTTGCGATAAGAAGTTGGCTCAGTGCTATCCTACCTTTGTCAAACTTAACAGTATTATTCAGACCCACTAATATACTTGAGTTAACAGTACTTCAAATATTGTATTAGATATATCGTTTCAGGAGGCTTGCGTAGCTTTTGACGCTAGTCTAGAAAAATGGGTCAACACACGCAAGGAGAGGTGAAAATCAGGAATCAGGAAACATTTATTGCCAAAATATGTCATACATACAAGGAATTTGACTTGGCGGTTGATGCGTGACAGACAAGACAGCAGTGCACGAGTAATAAAATAAAAATAATAAGGAATAAGGATATGGGTTAGTTTAAAATAAAAGAATAAAATTAAAGTTAAAAATATTAAAAAAATTAAAAAATAAAGTGCACTAGCGAACAGGAAGTGACAAAAGTGACGAGTGAAAAGTGACAAGTGAAAGTGACGTGTGCAGAATGAAAGAAAGTGACCGGTGGAATGTCAGTCAGTCAGTTGAG